TGAGTATTCAACGCTTTCTTATAAAGTATTTTGCTTATCAACGTGCAGTTGATTTGGATCAAGAGGTCTCCTATTGTGTTCATGGTCGTCTCCGTAGCCTTGTTTAGGTACGTATCCCTCCATTTAGGGATGATTTGGTACTTAGGATAGAGCAGCACCGGCCTTGTATGTTTCTGCTATTCGTCACAACTTATCTATGTTTCCATCACGGTCCTCGTCCTTACTGTGTTCTGCACGTTCGGACTATTGGCCGTATCAGCTTGGTTTACGGCCGAAAGATGGATATATAGCAAGCATAACGGTCTACGATGGCTATCGGATGTCATTCATGAACACTGGAATAGGTTCATCAAGTATCCACCCGTCCAATTCGTCCGTTACATCCCGCGACGGATCGTTTCAGCGTTCCGCAAATTTGGGAGATGCATCTTTTGCAGACCTGATATTGACAGCGATTCTGAGGATGGGCTGCCTTTCCCTAATGGTGTTGATGGAAGGAGCAGTGTTACCCCATCACCCATCGAGCATCGACACAACCGATCCGTCAGCGCCTTGGAAAAGGGAGATTTCCCAGATAGTCCTATTGTGTCGACGAATCCCATACGAGCTTCAGAAGATGACGTCTCGCAAATGGGCCATGTTCCCCATTCGCCCGTCTCACCTCGTTCGCCTTTCTCGCCCGCTCGAATGTTTTCTCTCGCCAGCGCTTCTATCGTTGGGTCATCTACCAACCATTCTCAGGGTGCTCCCAGTGAACCGAATGCCAGTACCACAAACACGGGTGAAGGTGCTACTACTGCCGCCGCTCCTGGCGAAGGACTCGCCAAACTAAGGGGAGCCAATCGGTTCCGCCAACTTGCTTGGAAGGTCGTAGAAAAGGAGAGAGAGCAAACTCCTTCGAGAGGAAATACCGCCATGTCCCAGGCACGGGCGACGACCATTCTTTCAGATGCAGCCAAGAGAAGGGATACGAATGAAGGCAAAGGTACCGAAGCGCAAATAAAGCCTGGAAGGTTGACGGCGCTTCGACCTAGTCTCAAAAGATTGCAAGTGACACATACGATTCTCGACCATACGGCTCTCGTCAGACATTTGCAGTTTAGTCCGAATGGTAAGTTGTTGGCTACATGTGGATGGGATGGAACCGCGAGACTGTTTGATGTTCCTATGGACGCGAACGATGTGGTTGGTCGTCACCGCATCATGGCTGCCTCTGGTGGTTTCCTGGGACAGGTGGCATGGAGTCCGGATGGTAACTGGCTACTGACCAAGTGGACGACTGGTATACAAGTGTGGTCAGAGGTGTGTTGTTGCATTTATTTTTCTTTAGAAGTTTCCTAATTCTGTTTGGATATAGGCTGGCGTACGCAAGAAGAATATAGCACGGCATAGACCGGTTCGATCGGTAGCATGGTTCC